TTTTCAGATATATATATATATATATATATATATATATATATATATATAATAAATAAGTAAATAATAAATAAATAATAAATAACAATAAAAAATAATCCATTTATTTTAAGAGTAAAGTAACTCTTAGTAGAATTGTTCTCCTTAATAATTCATAATCTACATTAAATTTTTATTATTAAATTAAAAATTCTTGATAAATAAATTAAATCCATAATTTTTTTTAAAAAATTTGAAAACTATCACATATTTTATTATATTGATTCAAATTAATATATAATATATTTTTATAAATAAACATTAATTTATTAATATATTTGATAATTTGGTATAATAGGTTTCATTAATTGTAAATTTAGGGTTCAGTGAAAATAAAAAATTCTTCTAAAAGACTAAAAGAGCCGATTTTTTCAAAGTGGTCATATCTAACCAACAATCAAGAAGTTGTTGCATCACCAAACTGATGAATTTGATATTCAATTTAAGGGTTCAAATAAAGATATTAACATGTTAAATTATTTCAATTTTCTTAATGGTGGTTTGAAAGGACAAACTCTTACAATGTAATATATAGAGAATAAAGTATAATATAATATGAGGTATTAACTCAAATGATTTATAGTTTTTATTTTTAATAAATACATTTATCCCTAAATCCATACCACACTTTATAATGAAATAGTTTCATTATGGTTTCCCTAACTTCTAAAATATAAATAAAATCATTCACTCCCTCCCATTAATTTGTAACCAAAATAAATTAAGAACCAAAAATGTAAATGCACCGCTGAAGATGCTCTTACCAATTATAAATCAAATCCTCACGTTTCAATGTCAAATATACTATAATATAAAATTTATAACCGAAATCAATTTAAATTAATATCAATCATATTTGGGGATTCAAAATTAGTTCTATCTAAATTTAAATTAAACAAGTCCAAAGATTTAATAAAAACAACCAGCGGTGCATCTTGATTGCATCCACAAGATATTAGACTGAAGTGTACAACGATCCTACTAGGGTAGAAGTTTAATAAAAACACCCAGCGGTGCATCCACAAGATATTAGACTGAAGTGTAAAGGTCAGATTTATACTACTGCTTGATTGTTTCCAAAAAAATATCAATACAATGGCCACTCTTACTAACATCAGATAGAGAAATTTTCATACCTCTCCAAAAATAAAAAATATAACAAGATACCATTGGATGAAAATGTAAGAGTGCACCTGCCCTTTGGCATCATAAGAAGCTCAAAAATAAAACAAAAACATAGAATCATTAAGTTTGATTTTCCATTAACACATCCTCGAGCACGCGAACAAAAAGTAACTAGTTGCTTTCTGATAAACATACATTAGGCTCTATTTCAATGGAAAACCAAACATATACTAATGAGTTGATCGCTCTATTTCTGTAGTCTTTCCACTAATACTTGAATGCAATGAATCAAAGGTATGGCTGGTGCGAGGATTGCAAACTAGTACCCATATAACGACCATAGTTAGAAGGAGGGGCATTCGCTGTTCCAGTGTATATAGATTGGCCAGGTACTTGATAATCGTATGTTATTGTACCAGCATGGGGATACCTATCAGGATTTCCAACAAGGGGATACCTATCAGAACTTCCTGCATATGGTACCCTAACAGGGGGAACTTGCCTACCCAAAACAACAGTTGATGCAGCGCTGCCACCAGATGAATGGAGCGAAAAATATCTCTCATTAGGTCTTGGCCTCTTTGATGGTGGGCGCCTACTAAACTCTCCACTTCTCTTTTTATCACCCTTCGATTTTTCTAGCTGAATAACCCTTTTTAGAAGTGTATCAAGTGGGTAGTCAGACTCCAGTTTGTATTCTTCAATACACTTAATTACAGCTTTTAGAGCTGCAAGCTCTTGTGCATTGGCATCATTCTGCATATGAATGATAAAGCATGTATGACAATACAGCCACAGGCAATGCAGAACAAGAGAAATCCAGAATGAAGACATACTTTATTGAAATTGCAATCAACCAACAAAGCATACCTTTGCACTAGCAATATCACGCACATTTCCGGTCTTTACTTGAGAATTTCTCCTTCGATTCTTGAGGTATACCTTCAGAAGGGGCACAGGGGGAAAGCTTTCTTGAAGCTGGAAGGCATGAATAAAATGTACAGCTGCTATTTGCTTCTCATTATGGATTAATGATTCTACAACAGCTGCATAAACAGTAAAGATTAGAATAATGAATAATCAACATCTGACAATCATATTAAATCTTAGCATGCAAACCATATGTCACATGTGTCTACTCTTTGTCGAGTTAGCCACACTGCACCTACAGAAAACTACTTATCTAGCATGTGGATGATATCTGACAGGACAATCCTTCATTGCAGACTTCACAGGTTAGTTTATTAAAAGAACACCAACCTGGCATTTTGTGAATTAACCCAATAGAGCGGCAGAGCTCAGTTGTCTGCCTAAGCTGAGCAACTGCAAGTACAAGCTTGCAGAGTTCTTCTTCATCAAACTCTGAAGCAATCCTAAAAGTTGAAATAAGCTGCAAGAATGCCTCTACTTCCAATGAATTTCCATTGGCAGCATCAATATCTGCTCTAGCTAACTTGGGCCTCCACTCATCAGCAATTGCTTTGGCTTGCTGCTTGGTTTCAGGGTTCAGAAGGTGATCTGCACCTGGGTCAGCCCTTGCCAATAAGGTGGCCATGGCTTCCAAAATTATAATACAGGATTTGCGCATGCCCTGTAGGGCAGCACCCATTTTATCTTTAGTTTGGGAAGTTTCATTGGTGGGGTAAAACCCCTCCAGTGAATCCAGCACCAAACGTGCTGGATCAGTTGCTTTTTCTAATGCAACAGAAATTTCTTCACGAATAACAAACAAATTTTTTTTATTCTCCACAATATAATTCAGAAGACCTTTCGCATCCATTTGCTCACAAAAATGTGTCAGCGCTGGATGTGGCCTAACCTCAACAGCCACGGCTTCAGACTTTTCACCTGACTTATGAGGAACATCGTCCTCTGAGGAATTTGTATCGCCAAGAGAGCTGCTTACCTTGTTATCTTTATTCTCCTCATCACGCACCGAATCCAGAGTTGCATGAGCCTCTACAATGGAAGCTACAGCAGCATCTTTAAGCTCCTGCAACCGATCTAAGAGATCTTGCTCTTTAGAAGCAACTGCTGCTTTCCTCTCTGCAAGGATTGTATCCACTTCTAATTGTTTTGCTTCATACTTCCTCTCCTTAGCTTCCAGCTCTTCATGTTTCTTATTCAATTCTGTCTCAAGGTCATGAAAATATTGCTTAATTTCAAGCCATTGAATCTTATTCTCAGAATCACCCTTCTGAGCTTCCAATTCAAGAAATGCCTGAGCAAGCTGCTCTATCATAGACTGTACATTAATCTCCTCGCCTTGCTCCTCGACACCCATATTCACACAGCCTATCCAATGGCACTTCAAAAAATAGTTCAATTTAATGGTTAAAAAACATTGCAAACATCATAATAACATGAGAAAGACAATTAACTGTAGTAGCTGTCAAACCCCTCTAAATGGAACAGACCAAAGAACAAATTATTATAACCCGGCATTTAAAATCATAATTTTCAACCTAAGGGTACCAACCACCTCCCTCTTCACACCTTCCTCGACCATTTATCCAAACCAATTGTGTTTGCTTTTGCATACAAAAGCACAAAAATACCAATTGTTTAGTTTATCAAATTACAAAAATAATTTGGCAATATTTTTCATACAATATGTCTCCCGCTGGTTAATGGAAAAGAACAAACTTCAGACGTTAAGGAAGTAACAGATAATATTATTTAAGGGTTTTAATTAGGGAGCCAAAATAACCCCATTGCAGTATATTAAGGACACAACACTGCACCGTTTGTATCAGAGCGCATTTGCAGTTTTGTTTACGATTACAGTCATAAACGAAAATATCCACCGAAAAGAAATAGCGAATCCATTCCTTTTCAAACGGAACATTGAAATCCATCTACTGCGGGATGGCATGAAAACACGAAATCCAAACATTGAGTAAAAAAAACATAGATGAAACAGAGGTGAAATAGGTAAATAGAAATACCTTAGTTCTGAATTATGACGCGAGAAACTTGTTGTTTTGCCAAAACAGCAGAGTTTTTGTTTAAACCCTAATTTGAAAATTCAGGGCCTGGTAAGTGGAAGCTCGGAAGTCATGGAAATGAGGCAGGGTTCTGAACAGAGATTCAAAAACTTACTAGGAGCGGTACTTGTTGGAAAAGAAGGACCATGAACACCGAAGATGAAAGAAAAGTAGAATAGGGATAGGGAAATGCGGTTCAATACTCGAATATTCTAAGTGTAAAAGAATTGAATTTCTGAAATAATATAGTATTTATATTTAAGAAGAAAACTATTTTTAAATAATTTTCTCATTTTTTTTTAAATGTAATGGAAAACTCCATTAAAAGGTGACACACCAGGAGGTTATATATATATACAAACAAGATATTAGACAATTATATAGTTATTTAAAAAGATATAAAAATTATTTTTTTAATATATAATAATTCACTAAAAAATAAAATACAATTATCTACTCTAATATTTCTTTTATAATATATATTTTCATAAACATGTTAAAATTATTTTATATTAATAAATTACAGATTTTTAAAATCATTTAATATATTAAAATCTATCTATATTTTGGTTTGTAAATAATTCATCAATGCACCATTAATAAATTAAAAATATATTCAATGTATTTTTTTTTAACTGCTATTCTCATGTGCGAGTCTTTTTCTCTAAACACATACAAAATAAATATAAATATAATAAGTGTTATATTTTGAATAAAATGGACATTGACTTATTTTCTTTATTTTAAATAAATGTAAAATATAATAATTAATTTATAAAGTTTCTAAAATTATAGTAATATTTAATATTAAAATTATATTTATTACATTCTTTATATATGAATATTATGTTCAAGTGCAACCCTCCTCTCTAAATTCATATAAAAGTAAGTATAATAATAATAATAATAATTTAATTTCTGTAGTATTATTATTATTATTATTATTTCTGTATAATTAACTTATATGTTAATTAAACATATTTAACTTTTTTAATCTTAATAAAAACTTATATTTTTCTTATATTATGTTTCATTATAATTTAATATATATCCTTGTTAAAAAAGGATTTGATATGTATAAAAAATAATGATGTCAAAATGAGTCATTCAACCAAAAAGTCATTCACCAGTACTAAAATTGGTTTTCTTAAATATGATATTAGATATGAGTTTTGTTTATGACAAAAAAAGTAGTTTAAATAGCAATTTTTACTAAAAGTGATCAATCATGTTTTAGATAGAGATTAGTCTTTATCAAAATTGATTGATACTTTGCATCAATAACATAAATACTAAAAGATTAGGCCACTCGATCGAGTGTTAGATACAAATTATTCAAAAGGAGGATTAACCCAAACTAAACTCACTTTTAGGTGAGTCTACAAAAAATGAATTTAGGGGAGTGTATTTGTGAGGACCCTATTTTCATTTTCCATTTTCACCCTTACTCATTTTTCAGCCCCACTCACTCTTCCTCACACAAGACTTTCTTTCCCTCTAAACCCTCACTCATTTTCTCTCAAATTTCCTTGTGGTGAATCTTGGTGACCGTAGGTGCAAGTGGTGTGAGAGCTGATTCCTTGTCCGAGGGCTGATTCCGCAAGCTTGTTCTTCCTCTCCGTTCAAGCTCTTTTTCACTCTTCTTCACTCTTCTTCTCCGTTCAAGTTCCCAGAGCTCGAATTTCTTGATTTGAGGTAAGGGAAGCTAGTCCTTTGCTTTGTTTGGCCGAAAACGAGTTCTAAGAACTCTTTGGTGGTAGGGTGTTTGCTGCATTTGAGTTGAGAACGGTTGAAATTGCTAATTTGGGGGCCTTTCGAGTTTTTGGGGTTTTTGGAGAAATTTCGGGAAATTCCTTGGATTGTGTTTGCATATTGAAAATGAGGCATTTTTATTGATATTTGATGAGATTGGGAACTTTTGGCTGGATTGCATGCTGGTTTTCTGTTAAGTTTTGCAGGTTTTGGGCAATTTTCGAACTTGGGGAGAGTTACTGATGAGTTTGCGCTGGGCGCTGTTCTTCGCGCTAGGCGCGCGACCACCAGGAGACTCTGTTTAGGCAAGCTCGCTGGGCGCAAAGCTGTGTGCGCCGGGCGAGCTTGCAAATGGGAGTCTCTGGTAGGCCCGCGCCTGGCGAGACTTGGGCTGCGCCGGGCGCGATATCAATGGTGACACGTTTGGGGTACTATGGTATCGCGCTAGGCGCGCGTTTGGACTCGCTGGGCGCGAAGGCTCCTTGGGGGTCTCTACCGAGAGGGCGCTGGGCGCAATGCGAATTGCGCCGGGCGCGAGACCTTGGTAGGTCTCTGCTTTCCCCACGCTGGGCGCGGGTTAGGCCTCGCTGAGCGCATGAGACTCCTTAGAGTAACTGCTTGACAGGCGCTGGGCGCAATTTGGAATTGCGCCAGGCGCGTG